TTAACAAACATGAACTTCAAGCTTGGAAGACATAAATAAAAACAAAAAAGATTCTTTCTAATAACACCAAAATCATTACTAACATGCCATTTAGGTTTCATAATTACAGTTGCTTTTCTAACTTACCACTAAGATCCAGTAAGTTGAATAGCACAGGGCAACTTCCAATACTCCTAACCAAGCTTATTGCAGACCAAATTTTTTGGTAGTCCTCTCTTGATGCTCTGATAACACACAGCTTTGTAATAGGATTGACATATTTAACTACACCCAAAAAAAAAAAAAGAGGCAAAGATTATTAGAAGCAAGAAATTCCATTTAGAAATAAAGGGAAAAACAAGCTAGAAAAGAACAGGCACCATGGTTTATGTTATACCTTGGAAGGATCCAAGCGAAGAAGCTAGACCGCATTCACCAAAGTTGACAAGAATGCTATCCTTGATTGCTTTTGAGATGTTAAATTGGGTGACTACAATAGGGTCATCTCCCAAATTTTCTTTATTTGGATCCAGAAAGACCTCCATTACCATGTACCTGTTCTTAAATTCCACCATTATCTTTTTCTTTCCCTGCTTTATAACAAACAATCTTATCAAACGACTTCATTCAGCTTATAACAAAAGGCTAATTTGGATAATCCACAGATTTTTATTTTCAACAAAATTTCATCTTTCAAATATACTATCAAAAGAAAACCCACCTGTAATTTCATGGAGAGAGAGAGAGAGAGAAAAGTTTATGATTCCATTCACAATTTTGGAACAAACCGTGGACTTTTATACAAAGTGTTAAAGTTAACTCAAAACCCAGGTCTAAAATGGCCTAAAAATAAGTCAAATGGGACTCACCAGTCGCCGGTCGCTGATCTCTTGCAGTGGGTGAGGGTAGCAGCAGCAGCCTAAATGACACTAATAAACTATGGCGGTAGCGGACGTTTTAAAGGGTTCTTATCTTTACTTTCAGTTGGCCACGTTTCAAAACGCAAAACTTCGTTGTCGTTTCATCAACTGTTTTCTTTTCTTTTAGCTTACGTTACTCGCAATCTAAAGTACAATGTTGAAGAGAACTGGAACATGGCACCTTTCCTATTTATGTGTTTCGGTTAAGCCACCACCCATAACTCGGCAGCACCCAAACCACCAGTAACCCCATTGTCACAACTCAGAAACCTAAAATCTTTCATTTCTTTTTTATACTTTTAGTTAGTATTTCTTTACCTACTTAAATTGGTAGCACAAATGACCCAATGCTTTATTGGCAAAGATAGGTGTATGTATGATATAGCCATCAGAGTTCACGAAGGCAGAAAGTCTTCCAATGATTTTATTCTCATTAAGGGGGATTTCTGTACGTAATACATAAATGCGTTTCTCAAGGTATGTCCTGCACAAGCAACAAAAGCAAGGAATTGCTTCTTAAAAAGGCCAGGTCACCTCCAGACAAAAAGAAATCCTAAACCCAAAAAAGGCAATCTTGCGGCTAATTAAGTAGAATATCAGCAAAGCAACGTAGTCGTAGCCCTTTAGCCTTTCTTGTATATCCCTCCTATGGCATGATTCCCTCCCTTTCAGAATCTGCAACCTAAAACATGAGTATATTTAATGATGGGAACCCTTTCTCTTGAACAGGGAAGACAAAAGTTATTGGTAGAGTCTTTGCTTGCCTCATGTTTCTCGGTGTTTTCCTTAGTTTCCTTCCATTGTTCTTTTACAGCTCTCATTCTTGCACTTTCACAATAACAAACAACTGCCCTTACACAATATGGCCCGGAACACTTGCTGGTTCAGGGACTCCACCGCTTCCGACGACAGGATTCGAGTTGGATTCAGGGCAAAGTGTTAGGATCCCATCAGTTCCAGGATGGTCAGGTCGGATTTGGGGCAGGACAGGTTGCTCGTTTGATGCGTTGGGAGCTGGCTTTTGTCAGACGGGTGACTGCGGGGGAAGGCTAGAATGTGATGGCAATGGTGCTACTCCACCTGCATCTCTATTTGAAATAACCCTTGGTGAAGGAAATGACCAGGATTTTTACGATGTTAGCCTTGTAGATGGTTATAACTTGCCTCTGGTTGCTGCACCTCATGGAGTTTATGGTGCATGTAATGCCACAGGCTGTGCTTCTGATCTCAATATGGGTAAGACTCGCTTCCATTAAAAGATGTTTAAGCCAATAAAATCTTCACCTACTGACATGAGATGCTAAATATTTCCAACAAAATATTTGGCCAATAAAATCTGGACCCTTATTAGTCTATTTGGTACTGAGAAACAGGTTGCCCGAAAGAACTACAAGTGGTGGGAGGGGATGGAGGTGCTGCAGGCCGAGTAGTTGCATGCAAGAGTGCATGTGAAGCATTTAGGCTGGACCAATACTGCTGCAGTGGGGAATTCGCCAACCCAACAACATGCAGGCCTTCCTTCTATTCAACTATTTTCAAGCGGGCTTGCCCAAGGGCTTACAGCTATGCTTTTGATGATGGTACCAGCACTTTCACTTGCAAGGCCTATGATTATCAAATCATTTTCTGCCCAAATTCTCAAAGGTATTTTCTCTCTCATTTTTACCGTAAACTGAAAGTACAACCATTATAAAGCTATATCTATTGATTTAACTAAAGTTGTATGATCTCTTCGCATCCATGTGATGTTTTTAACATTATGCTGAATGCATTTTCATTTTGTATGTATGACACCTTGTTATTAGATCCTAATCTCTTAAAGAATTGATCACATTGGAAATGCAGGGCAAAGAGATCAGAGGGTCCATTTACACCTCCATTCAATGAAGATGGGGCCGAGGGGAAGGTTGTGCACATGGTTTCTTCATCAAATATACTCTTACCGCTTCCAATGCTGATCTTTCTTGTTGTCAATATGTTCTTTTGAACTTGTATGGTGGCTTTATTGCCATTGTTGCTGTGAGGTGCTCCTTAGACATAACGCCACCCATACTTTTGATGGGTTAAAACTCAAAAGAGGGAGAAAATAGTTCAAGCACTCCTTTCCAGAGCAAAGCATTGAACATTGAGGAATTTACCAGGGAATCTTTATCCATTGCCACCAAGAGCATGTACTGTAGCTGATCAATGAGAAATTTGTTCTCCATATGATCTACTTCATGTTACCTTTGAATTGATAACTTGTCTTGTTAATAATATTACAATATTGAAGGTTTACCTCCAACTGATTCATAGCAAGTTTACTCATTTGGCATTTACCAACTTTGCTTGAGCTGCTGCGAATTTGAAGAATTACCTAACTGAAATGCAATAAACAATGCAGAACAGCATAGCATATATTCTGTTTACCATTTGATGGAAATTCATAATCAAGATCTGCAGAATATGCCCTATAATTGAAGAAACCAAGAGCACCATGCTCAAGAAAAAAGAAAGACCATACTCCTATGTATGTCATCACTAAAATGAATAATCTGCTGTGGCCAAATAGAAGAACTAATACTGTCATGGCAGATATCACAAAAATCATGCAAGCTATAATCCCAAAAGAAGAATAGAAAAAATAAAAAATTACAGTTTCATTGCCTCCAGCAAATAAGTCAAATACAAAAAAAATAAAATAAAATTGACAGTTTCATCTCCTCAAGCAATAATCTCCTTCTGAGATCTTCCAAATGCCAAGTGAGCTAAGCGGTTGCCATGTTTAGAAGAACCCTTTCTCTCCCACAAGGGCAAACACACTGACAATACTTGGCAAGTAATGTGGGTGTGCAGGTGATCGTTAAAAATATGATGAAACCCCAGACTCTGCTGCATATTCCTCTTGGGATTATTAAAGGAACTCATGACATCATGACATTAAGGAGGCAAGTTAGCATTGGATTACCCAACTAATTGAACAACCGTGCAGTGGGGAATCAGTTACCATCCTCCTAATGCTCATGCTCCACTAGTCCAGCATCATGCTATTGCTATGGTGCCTTCTTATCAATTGTGTCTTCATTCAATTGAGTATCAGTTAATCTCTCAGCTTACCATGTTCTATATTTCCATCAACACATGCTTTAACCCAACTTCCTCTGGCATCTTGAGCTTCCTAGCTCTGGCATCCGTTTGGATAGAAGATGGAAATAGGAGTGCATCACTGTGAAACATTGAAATTTGCATTTGTATTCAGGGTCTCATAAAAATATATCTCCCCACCAGATTTATCCTTCCCCGCCTTAACAACATAACCAATGTAAGGAAAATCACTTTTTCTGGATACTGACTGTAAGAATAGGTTGATTGTAACTGACAAATAGGAATAAATTGAAAAATAAACACACAATTGGAAAGGAAAAGGAAGAATATGAACAGTAAGAATCAGCTACCACTAATCTCGCGCTTGAAGATGCCAAATAATAATAATAATAATAATGTCAAACTATCTTTTAGAACAAAAAAGCTCCACAATGCTTCATCACTAAAAGTTTATTTTCCCTAAAAGGAAAAAGAGAGTTCCATTAGTTTTAATCGTGAACCAGCTTCACATAAAAAGGATTTAGGTCAATTCGAATTGTCTCTGAATACAGTTTATAGAATACAAAACAATATCTTTCCCTTCTTGCAGGAGATTGTATTACTTACAGCACAAATTAGGAAAGAAAAATTAAGAAAATACATTACTGCAGAATAGCTGTCTATTGCAACATTTAAGCGGTCAGGTCAATCTTGTGAAGGAAATTAAATGATCCATCCTTCCAATAATAGGTCTGTCTAAGATGATAGACCACACATTGCTATTCAAGTCGACATTGCCGAAATCACTAACTATTTCAAATTTTGGCATTACCAAGCATTCTCTCCAGTTTTGATAGACATCAAAGTTGCATTAAGACAACCACCTAATGAAACAGTCACAATAAAGAATTTAAAGGTTAAAGGAATTTTCACTTGGCCAACACTGCCTTCATACCTTGGTCATGCCTCTTAGCATTTTGTGTTGTAGTATCAGGCATCATTCCCTTCTGGCGAATTTCATCAATGAGCCTCAGAGCCTCATCTTTCCGCTTTTATCTTTGAATATGCATTGACCAGCATTTTATAAGTCCCCAGACTTGGTGAAAAACCCTTTGCTATCATCAGGTCAAAGACATCCTTTGCCTTATCCATTTCACCTTGCAAACAATATCCAATAATCATTGTTCCGTAAGTAATCTCATCAGGCTTTACGTCTTTTTTATTCATTAACTCAAGTACTGCTTCAGCTTCCTCCATCATTCCTTGTTTACAAAAAGCATCCAACATAAAGTTTAAAGTACTTTTATCTGGACACATACCTTGGCAGGCCATTCCACTTAAAAAGTTTGTTGCTTCTTTCCATTGACCTGAACGGCACAATCCATGTATTAAAGAATTGTAAGTGATAACATCAGGTTTTACACCTCTTTCACTCATTTGTTCCAACATTGTAAAGGCTTCTTTCACTCTATTTTGTTTGCACAAAGCATCAATTAAAGAGTTGAAAGTTACTACATCGGGATGAATTCCTTCATCCGTCATTTTGTGGAACAAGCTTTCTGCCTCTTTCCATTGGCCTGACAGACAAAATCCATGTATTAAAGAGTTGTAAGTGATAACATCAGGTTTTACATCTCTTTCACTCATTAGCTCCAACATTCTATGGGCTTCTTTCACTTTCCTTTGTTTGCACAAAGCATCAATTAAAGAGTTGAAAGTTACTACATTGGGATGGATCCCTTCATCCATCTGTCTGTGGAAGAAGCTTGCTGCCTCTTTCCATTGGCCTGAAAGGCAAAATCCATATATTAAAGAGCTGTAGGTGATAACATCAGCTTTTACACCTCTTTCACTCATTAGCTCCAACATTGTAAGGGCTTCTTTCACTCTCTTTTGTTTGCACAAAGCATCAATTAAAGAGCTGAAAGTTACTACAAAGGGATGAATTCCTTCATCCATCATTCTGTGAAACAAGCTTGCTGCTTCTTTCCATAAGCCTGAAAAACAAAATCCTCGAATTAAAGAGTTGTAGGTGATGACATCTGGTTTCAAGCCATTGTGAGTCATCAATTCCCAAATGTCTAATGCCTTTACTATCTTCCCTTCTTTGCATAAAATATCTATCACCATATTATGAGTTACAACATTCAGCTTTATACCTCTTCGAGTCATTAAATTGAATAAAGAAGTTGCTTCTTTGATGTTCACATCCTTGTAGAGAGAGAGAGAGTCAATTAGAGAAGTGAAGGTGTGTACATTTGGAGAAATTCCAATTTTAACCATGTCAGTCAACAATCTTTTTGCTTCATCCCACTTTCCAGTGCTACATAATCCATGAATTAATGTAGCATATATAGTAGCATTGGGCTCAATACTCCTATCTAGCATATCTTGAAAGATAATCAAGGCATCTTCTATGCTTCTCTCTTTACAAAAGCCATCAATAATTGTCCCGTAACATACTACATCAGGTTTGAAACTTCTATTTTCATTCATCTCTGTCAGAATATCAAGGGCAAGACAAGTTTGCCCCGATCTGCAAAGCCCCCTGATAATAATACTGTACGTGCATTGATCACATGAATATCCATTCTCCACTACTTTCTGAAACAATTCCAAGGCTTCATTCATCTTACTTTCGTTGCAAATTCCAAGAAGAAGAGTATTCATGGTATAAGCGTTAGGTTGAAGACCCAGTTTAAAAATCATTGTCAACACACAGAAACCCAAGTCTACCTGCTTTAAATTGCACAAACCCAAGTCATAATTTGCTTCATTTCATCACCATTACTTAGAATTTATTTTCAAGTTTTGAGATTGATGCAACGAAGGGAGTAAACAACGGCAGAAATAAATTGCAGCAGTGAAGGGTTTGGTGGGTGCCTGGGTGGGTTTGTTTTGCGTTTAGTCCCCATATATGGAAGTTTTGGAAAATTGACGGGGCACTTCTATTATATGATATATGTTTATATTTTGTGACCTTCTTATAAAGTTATTTAGATAATGACCCATCCAACTTTTAATATTTTAAATATACTGTTGTCAATTTAACAAGAGAATGGATATTTATGGATTATGCTGTAAAATTTTATCATTAAAAGGGTCAATTTGTACAAAACGAGAAATTAGAAATACAAAAGGAAAAATGTGAAAAATTCAAATAAAGCCTCACAATAAATACCTTACCTTGTACTCCTAAACCCTCCCTTAAACATCACTTCCTTCTTTCCCTCCAAGATGCGCGGTCGCCACCAGGGCCACCGTCCCTTCCGCCCTCCGGGCGGCCGTCGTCCACATCAGCCACAATTTCAACCTCTAAATCCCAATTTGGCTCTCCAAGACCCCAACGTTCTTCAATTCATCGAAGCCCTGACAACCCAAATCCAACCAAATTTCCCTCTTCAACAAAACCCAAATAATTTCTTCTTCCAAAACCCCAATAATTTCCTTCCTCAAAACCCTAACATCCCTAGCCAACAACAAAAACAACAGGAACTCTATTCCAGCAGCAGCTACAATCAGCCTCGGAACCAGAGAGACACCACCGCCTCTGGCCAAGTCCCGAAGGATGTTCGTGAAAGAGCCGACCAGGCCGTGATGCAGGCTTGGCGCGAGCTTATTGCTTCCGGAAAGAATGTTACGGCGTGGAAAGTTTCACAGGCTGCCCTGGTGGCGCTGCAGGTTGATTCATGGAGCTCGTTGGGATTGGATATGCATGGGATTCCATCTCTTCAAAAGATTATGACCATTGAAGGAAGGGTAATTACACAACAATATTTTTACGTTTGTTGCAATTTAGCCGTTAATGGATATTGAAATCCTTGAGGTAGAAGAGCGAGCAACTGGATGTGTATTTTTTTTTCTCAAAAAGCTTTGTTTGATGTTGCTGAGAAAGTATTTTTTTTGAGGATTGGGGATTGTTTCTTTTGCTACTTGCATTTTGTCTCTGCCTCTGCGAAAGAGAGAACATGTTTAAATCACAAAGCAAATAACTTTTTTGAAGAATCGAAAGTTAAAATGTTAAAACTTTTTGGAGAATGAAATGCATGATTTTACTTTTATATAAGAATAGCTATGTTAGAAATGGTACTATATTTTACTTACTTAGTCAAGTTTTAATTTTTAATCAATTAAGAATTTGATTTTTCTTTACTAGCAAGCTACTAGCAATTAGAGAAAAGCAAGTAGTAAAAGCGACAACTAACAGAGCCATAGGGGAAGAGTAGGACTTATTTATTTATTTATTTTACTTTTGAGAGTTGAAGATATTTATTACAGTAAAAGTTTGGAGTTGCATGGAATTAAAAACTTTGATAACAAAAAGTTTGTTAGTTTTCCATTTTGGGGAGAAGGGAACAGGCAGGTCATATCTCTAGCCGCATTGAAAGAGCTTTTCACACGTAGCAGATAAATTGAAAATTTCCACCGTCCTGCAAATGGAGACCAAATTATTGTTTGAACAATAATGATTATTTCCTTCATTCCTTTTCTTCTAATTTCTTACTTTTTTCTCTGTCTATTGTTTAGGTTAATGCATTTATTCAATGTTTTGTTGGAGTAAGGCATATTACTACGTTATATGAGTTGGAGATGGCAATATGTGAGAATGAGGGTGTTAAGACATTTAAAAGCCTGGACCTTGGCCCTTTGCTCCATCATCCACTCGTCTTGCGCTACTTTCTACTAAACTCCAATAGTACAGAAGTTTTTAAAATGACAAGTGAGGACATAATTGCTCACCTTCATGAATACATGGACAGTCATGAAAATCAAGAAATTATTATTGATGAGTTTCTGGATTTTGTTGCTGACAAGCAAGCTATCACGAGCAAGGAAAAGCTTGGTGTGCATATTCGAAACTTGACGTACGTATTGCATATCTTTCTACTAACTTTTAGTGCAAAAAGTCTCATACACTGATAGAAACTAATGCCTTGAGAGCTGCATAAAACTGTTCTCAGGAGCCGTGGCTTATATTGATTGTGTTACATGCTTTACAGGGATGTATCATGAATTTGTCACAAATCAGTGAATACTGCTCATAAATTACAGCCTCTAATTTCTTGGTTGTTGGTTCCAAGGCGCATTGTTGATAATTATGACCTGGTAAAACTTTGATTAGTGTAGTATAAAATAATTTATAACTCCTAGTCCTTAACAGTAACGGAGTTAGCCTTTTATCAGCATGGCCTAGGAAAATCTATTACACTTTAAAAAATTTCCTCATTTGGCATTAAAAGCTAAAGATTTATATGTTACATGCTTACATGGTTTATTTTCTTTGCACTTTCCATATGATATCCTATGATTTGGTTATATATTACATGGTTTGTTTTCTTTTCACTCTCTGTATGTCATATAATTTGGTGATTTGTTACATAGTTAGGTTCTTTGCACTTTCTATTTAATATTCTATAATTTTGTTCTAAGACTTAATTGTGTATCAACACCATTCATGTGAAGGCATTATCTTATGAAGTCAACTTTTGACTGCCTAAAGCATCTTCTTATAGTGTCACATTGGCGGTTATACATACTTGTATAGATTTGGTACCCAATTGAAGGAATCAATATCTTCAGTGACCACATTTTAGTTTGACAGAAAATCTGATATTATAGTATATTGAAATTGTTATTATTCTGATCATAGGATGCATACTAGTTTTATAACGAAGGCCAAAAGAGAGAAAGATTTTAAGATAAAGAAATGCCAAAAAGGACTGAAGCTAAAAAACCGTTTGAAGGGACTGAAACTAAAACAGCGTTATGTCAACATGTCGCAACAAGTTGAGTCATTTATCTCAGTACACAAGGATTTTTCTGGCAAGCATATACGATTTGATTTATCAAGCTCAGAAGAGGAGGATAGCAATGATTCTGCACATGAAGATGAAAAGAATGACAACGACGAAGGCAACAATTCCAAGTTGGCATCACAAACAATTAATAGCTCTGATCGGGTTAGTAGTTGTCCTTACCCCTCTGCAACAGAAGAGTTGACACGGCTTGGGTTGAAGGATGGAATGAGTAAACCTTCTCCTTCTACTGGTAGTTCAAGGCACAACGACTGTACTGGGTCATTCAAAAGGAAAAGAAAAATTGGTTGTCCCAGTCCTTCCGTCTCTAGACCACCTAAGTTGAGCAGAAGAGATGGGGAGGAGCAAGATGTTGTTCCAAATGAAAATGGCAATAAGGACAAAGAGTCTAGTAATTTAGATGAAGCTGATATTTCTCTCTCTGATAACTCGATGAAGACATTCATCACAACCTGGAAAGAGGCATGTAGGGAGCACACCACGGCAGAGGTAAGCTCACTCTCTCAAAAAATTAATGTGTTATTTTTGTTTCCCCTTCCCAATGCAATAATTCATCTCATCCTGAGGCATCTGTAATATTTTTTAAAAACTCTGCCCGGATTTATGGTGAGCTAGGATTATAAAATTATCAATTGTAGGTTTAGGGATATGGAAGGAGTTAGGTAGGGTTTAGAACTCAAACATGGTTTATTCACTTGAGATTGGATATCAAAGGAGGGCTAAAATGAATTTGAAGCTTAACCTAGGCACTTTGTGGTTTTGAAGAATGAGCAATGTTATTGTCTGAAGCAAGAGGCCGCTATGTGACCTCTCTATTGTTTTTGCTTGCTTTGTGTTCATAGTGTTCCTTTTACTCCTGCACTTTTACTTAGAGACCTCATCAAGAATTTCCTCCTTTTGATCTCTTTTCAGTTTGACAAGTAATTTAAACTGCATGTCTTGGCATATAGTGGACTTGTTCCCAACCTTGAAGCGATTTGTGGATTTAACCCTCATTAGTATAGAGATTGTCATATCTTCATTCCATGGATACTAAGATCTTCTTTCCAAGCAGTTAACTTTCCAGTTTATTATTTCTATTCTCATGCTGCTTTGCTGCAAATCTTTGAATTGCAAGTGATGTTGTTGGTTGTAATTAGTCATGGCAGTCTTCTTGTCTTCTGAATGTAATGTACTTATTGTTTTTCTTTTCCATGAAACTTTAGTTGCTCTGGTTTAGTTTTGCCTCTTAAAAATAGAATTTTCCTCATCACTCAAGTTATATTCCAGAAATAAACCCCCCTCCCCCCCAAAAAAAAAAATTACCCCTTGAAGAAGATTTATATGCCAGGCACTCATTCGATCTTCTGAATTTTCTAATTGCACGCTTGAGGAGTGTCACTATCCATTTCAGCTTTGTTACTTAGTTGCATTTCCTCGCTGCCTTCCTTTAAATGTATAAGGATTTGAGTGATTTATTCAAATATACTATTTCTGGATTAGGATTTTAATAATTGGGAGTAGATTTTGCAATTCTAACTTAAAAGGATAACTAATAGCTTAGATGTGGAAGTAGTCCACTTAGGAGAGGGGGAAAGGAGAGAGGGAGCTATGCAAACAATCAGAAAATACTTCTTGAAAATTTTCTAATTGTAAACTTGGATGTTTATCATATTGTCGCTTTTGTCTACTTCATGTTTGCATTTCCAACTTCTTTCTCTTTGACACCTCTATGCATGCAGGATTTAAGATTTCAACAATATACTAAATGATATGATTTGTTAGTATAATACTTAGAATTTTAATTGAAACAGGATTCATAGAAAAGCTTAGCTGTGGGTTTGACATGTGCATAGAGTGAGAGGGGGGGGGGGGGGGGGAGGAGGAGGGGAGGAGGGGAGAAGCTTTGTCTACTTCGTATTTGCGTTCTTTCTTTTAAACACGCGGCACACACTCTTAGATGGTAGAAGATACATATGTGCATTGACACTTGCACGTAAATCTGATTAACATAGACACTGGACAAGTTAGAGACTCAGATCTGACACTTGTATGAATTTCAAGTTTAGTTTCCTGTCTTTTTGATTTTTGGTGGTACATGTTTGATGAATCAGTTGCATTTTCATTTCTCATAAGTACTTGTTTCCTTCCTGAATGTTAATTGCATAAGGCTGGACATTGAGGCTTTTATTTTTTATTTTTGTTTTAATCACACTGAAATATGAAATGCGTTTCATGGATTTCTGTTTTTATTCATAGGTTCTGCAAAGAATGCTTTCCTTTTACAAGTCAATGGCTCAGAAGAGGAAGAAAATGAAGTCAATGCTTTCTTCATATCCATTTATTGGATTACTAAATGTTGCTGTAAGGCTACTGTGCTTATCTGGTTGCAATAGTTGTTATTAACCAAAGTTCTAAAATGGAGCAGAATCTAATAAAAGCTCCTTGCATCCTTTGTTATTTTCTTTTTAGCATTTGGTAACTTGAAAAGCATGTGCATATGATGTAATTATTTACTTTAAATTGTATATTAAGGCATACTTTTGTTTTTACCTTTTCTTGGGCAACGCCTTTACCTAAGTGCTAAGTTGCAGCAGAATTTAGTAAAAGCTCGTTTGACCCCTTCAGCTGAGGTACCTTTACTGAGACACTCACCTTTAGTCCCAGGTTGTGCACCTTGAAAGGTAGTAGGCACAAAAAGGCTCAAGTGGTAAGGGTGGGTCGGGGTTGTTACAAATCTTATGTTTGACCTGTAATAGTCTTCATTGTACAACAAAAAGTAATAAGGGTATGTCTCATTTAAGTGACTCATTTCTTTTAATTGTATGAGCTGTATTTTCAATAGACATAAAAGGTCAATAAATGTTCTTTTTACAAGAATAAGATAAGGATAATGTTGTCCATATATAACCTCTTCTTGGAGGTAGAATTGTAGGGACTTTCTAACCACAGTTTAATTTGATGG